CCCAAGAGAAGTAGGACATCTAGACTTAAGAAAAAAAAAAATTAAATCCTTCAACTTTTCGCTCTGAACAGGTAAGTGATGTGTAGGAATCTATTAAAAATGCTGCAGGGACTGGGGCGCCTGGGTGGCTCAGTCAGTTAAGCGTCCGACTCTTGTTTTCAGCTCAGGTCATGGGATCTCCAGGCTCGTGAATTTGAAACGCGTGTCAGGCTCTGTCCTGATTCTCTCTCTCCCTCTCTCTGCCCCTCCCCTGGTCTTTCTCTCTCAAAATAAATAAATAAACTTAAACAAAAAATTAAAAATGCTGCAGGGGCCCAAGTCACCTGCGGGCTGAATTCAGCCCATGCTTCTATGCCGGTTTGCTTCTCTGTATTTAGCTGTCCAAGAGCAAGGAGCCTGGGGGAGGGGGTGGGGCGGAAATCGATTTCAGGGGTACCCAACAGGAAGGCACAGAGGCCCTGTCCCACCTGGGTCCAGCGTCTCCAGGAGCACCCCAGACTCGACAGGTGGCTGGGAAGATTTATAGGGCTCCGTATAGGTCATGCTCACGGCTGTGACTTGTTGCAGTGAAAGTCCGCGAAGTGGGGCACCGTCACCAAAAGGAAGAGGGTCACGGGGGTGAAGTCCCCAGGACGCCTGGTGCAAGAGTCCTCCCCAAGGGAGCCCCATAGGACGCGCTCTGTTCCCCCAGCTACGTGTTGTGATGGCCTGTGTGCAGTGCGGTCCCGCAGCTGGTTAGAGATCCAGCACCCAGGGTTTCCGCTGGGGGCTGGTCGTGTAGACACCCTCTGCCGAACACGGGGATTTCTGCTGAAATCCCCGACTCCAGAAGGAAGGCAGGTGTTCTGCATAAACCACACGGCACAAACATTTGGAGCACAGCGAGCCTCTTGTATGATTCAGGGAATGGTGGGAACCCTCCCCAAGTTCCCAGACACCAGCCAAGGGCCAGTCTTGCAAGGAGGTCTCCTTTTCAGGAGAGCAGGCCTCTTTTCAGCACCCCCCTCTCGTAACCCCTTCTTCACTTGATTCCAGAGCTCCAGGGGATCTGTCTGTGTTTATTGCTGGTGAGCTGCCAGTCCTGGGGGCAGTGGCCAGCTAAGCTCTCACGGGCAGCTGGCCTAGGGGCCGGTTTTGGTTCCGGACCCCTGTCCCAAGAGCAGGTTTGATGGAGAGGGAGGGACTGGGAGAGCGGAAGCCTGGCGTGTCTCTCTAGAACCAAGCCTGCCCTTTCACCAGCCGCCTAGGGCTGGGCTGTCCAGGAGAAGTTGGCACTAAGAGTGTTCATGCTCTGTGGCTGAGTTCACCGTTCTGGATTTCCCTGGGACCACGGGGAGGCTGGACTTGTCTGCACGCATGCATGTCTGGATCGTTCATTCATTCATTCATTCATTCATTCCCTCCCTCGCTCTTGCACTTAGTCTGTACCAGGTCCTGAGCAATCAGAGAAGACTTCCCAGCCCCATGCCTGGGTGGTTCAGTCGGTTGAGCTTCCAACTTGAGCTCAGGTCATGATCTCATGGTTCGTGAGTTCGAGCCCCACGTCGGGCTCTGTGCTGACAGCTCAGTGCCTGGAGCCTGCTTCGCATTCTGTGTCTCCCTCTCTCTGCCCCTCCCCCACTCACAGTCTGTCTCTCTCAGAAATAAATAAAAAACATAAAAAAATAAAAGG